CATAGAGCTCTGCGGTGAAAATACTAGCCATGCTTTCGAGTCGTTGGGCCTTTGTAAATTCTTCAGAGTAAACGGCAGTTCCCACGGAGGAGGAGTTATTGGATCCATCGGTATAAAAGTGAACATAGTTGCTGTATTTCTTTTGTAGCTCAACAAATTCTTGCTGAATAATAAGTGGCAAAATACTATGTTCGCTGAACCGTGTAAACGTCGAGTCGCAAAAAACTGGAAGCAGCTCCGAAGGTGCAATACGTAGAGGCTTCGTAAGGAGTTCTATCCCATTAAAGTCGAGTTCAAGAGATTCTTGTTCACTTCCCACACGAAAACTTCAAGGTCTAACCGTCCTCGGCTTGTTCTCGAAAAGACGGGCGTACCGAGATCGCTGCAAAGTAGTAAAGGTTGAATGGTCGAGATCAGACATAATCCGGGAAGCATAACTCAGTCCTAAATACTGTCGTCGCTTGGCAAGGGACATCTGGTGAGATTCCACATACAAGCTAAGTACAGCAGACGTACGGAAGGCGCCCTTGGCGAGCCGCAAGCCAAGATGGTGCACAGGGTCCAGCATTTTCAGCGAGGATGGTCGCGCTGAGTTATAGGGTATGGCACCGTAGTCAAGACGGGATCGCACCACAGTGTTATACAAGCGCAACAAAACCTTTCTGTCTGAACCCCATGTTTTATGAGACAAAACGTTGAGAATATTAAGGGATCTTAAGCATTTCTGTTTTAGTTGCTGTAAATGGGAGTTAAAATTTAACTTTTTGTCGAAAATAATGCGCAGGAACTTATGTTCAGCTTTAACAGCTAAAGGAGTTCGGTTTATTTCTAAGCCGTGATCTAGTGATATCCCACGCCGGAGAGAGAAGGGTACGCAAACAGTTTTCTCAGCTGAAAACCAGAATCCATTTTCATCTGCTAATTTGCTGATTTTATTTATTGCTAGCTGCAGCTGGCGCTCACAACTAGAAGGATTGCAAGAGGAAAAACAGATCTGCAGGTCGTCGACATAGAGCGAATATGCAATGGAACGTGGTATCACTTTAGCAATCGTATTGATCTTGACGGAAAACAGTGTGACACTAAGGACGCCTCCCTGCGGGACCCCACTTTCTTGTACAAAGATATCGGACAGAGTAGTGCCTAACCGAACCTGAAAAGTTCGTCCCGTTAAGTAAGCTTTAATGCAACGGAGCATGCGACCTCGTACTCCATAGGCAAGGAGATCCTGAAGAATGCCATGCCTCCAAGTAGTGTCGTATGCTTTCTCTAAATCAAAAAATACAGAAAAGCAGTGCTGTCTGTTTACAAATACTTCCCTAATTAAGGTTTCAAGGCGTACCAGGTGATCCAAAGGGGACCGACCCTGTCGGAAACCACACTGATACTTATCAAACATATTGTTAGTTTCAAGAAAATATACAAGCCGCCTTTTAGTGAGTCTCTTACCCAGGCAGTGTCTTACCCAGGCAGCTAGTGAGTGCAATTGGGCGGTAACTTGTTGGACATGAGGGGTCCTTTCCTGGTTTTAGGAAGGGTATGACGTGTGCACATTTCCATCCGTCGGGAAAGTAGGAGTCTTCCCAGAGGCGGCTAAAGAATTTAAGCAACTGTTCAAACGATTCCAAGGAGAGCCGACAAAGCATTTCATAGTGGATAGAATCGGGACCTGGTGAGGATTGTTTCTTGGTGTCAAGAGCCTGTCTTAGCTAACAAACCGTAAAAGGTTTGTTGGAAGGTTCAGAATCTGCACCCTGATAACTTCAGTCGTTGAGTCCTCTTGAACAGCTTAAAAGCAGCATTGTAGTTATCATAGGAAGACACACCCTGAAAGTGCATGCCGAGGGAATTTAATATATCATTTAACGATGCAGGAGACGGGGTGAAGAGAGGAGGACCAATGAAGCCACGGTAGTCACCCCTAATTTTACGGTAGCGGTCCCACACCTCTTTTGCGGAGGCAGCGCTGCTCAGGGAAGAGACATAATTCTTCGAGGACGTCCGTTTTGCCTGCTTTCGTGTCCACCGAGCCTTCGCCTTTCTTTTTTTAAACTCCACCAAGTTCCTGGGAATTAGATACCTTCGAAAGGTGTCCCATGCCTTTTTCTGGTTTTGCCTAGTTGTGCTGCACTCCTGGGTCCACCAGGGCTTGCACCGTTTTGGGAGGTTTGTGGGTGTCTTGGGAATAGAGGGATGTGCCGCATTTATGATTTGCTCGGTAACATATAAAGTAGCCTCCTCTGGTGTCATACTCTCAAGCATTAACGGGTCAAGTGTGGCCTCCTGTTGAAACAGTCCCCAGTCAGCCTCATCAAGTTTCCATCGGGGAATTCGCTTTAAAATTGTGGGTAATGGAATATGACTGTCTAAAACGATGGGAAAGTCATCACTGACAAGAGGGTCATATAAAACCTTCCATGAAAAACAAGGAAATAATGTAGCTGATGATATAGGCAAGTCTATACATGTAAAAGTGTTATGGTTCGCACTATAAAATTTTGGTTGTTTGCTGTTTAAAAGGCATAGTGAAGATGAAAGTAAAAAACGTTCAATGACCTTTCCACGATTGTCCAACCGATCACTTCCCCATAAGGGGTTGTGTGCATTAAAATCCCCTAAGATTAAAAAGGGCTTCGGCAGCTGGTTCAGCAGGTCCCGCAAATCGTAAAAGTTAATCGGGACATCTGGAGGAAGGTAAAGGGAGACAAGAGTATTGAGACGATCTGCAAGAATACGCACTGCAACAGTCTCCAGGGGTGAGCGAAGAGGAACTGCCGTGCATGCAATATCGCCTCGTACCACAACAGCCACTCCACCCGAAGAATGAGATGATGTACGGTCTTTTCGAAAAACATAGTGACGACGAAACATGTTCATATGAGTGCTATTGAGATGAGTCTCCTGCAGAGTGACTGCTAGAGTTCGCAGCTCATCAAGAAAAAAGTGCACATCGTCAATGTTGTGATGCAATCCTCGGCAGTTCCATTGCACGAAACTGTAACTATTTATAATGGATATGTTAAAAGGGGTTCCTGCCTAGAAACGCCCTCAGGCGGCTTGGGCGGGGTTACCCGTGGTATCGGTTTCTTCTGGGTTGACTTCTTTAGTTTTGAGTCATCAGGAGGAGCCAAAAGGATGGGAGGAGACTCACTCACATCCATCCGCTCCTCTTCAGGTGAGACGGTGGAGGCAGCAGGAGGGGCCTGCTGCTGCTTAGATGTGGACGGCTCCTCGGGAGGCTTTCGGCGAGGGGCTCGCTCCTTCCTCCTAGGAGGAGACCGAGTAATCAGGGCAGGCATGTCGTTTGACAGCCCGTCCCTCCAAGTGGGAGGCGCACCAGTGCCACCTCCCTGAGGTGGAGGGCATGCCGCCACCTCTGGTTTTTGGTAGGTGGGGGCTGAGCGACGGCCCCCCGTTCCCAGACGGAACCTGGAAGGGTCGAGGCTCCGAAGGTGGTGCAAGCCCCCTACGCACCACCTCGAGGAAGCCCCCCTTTGCCAAGAAAGCATAGCGCTTTTTGGCTTCGGGGTAAGACAAGTTGTCCTTGGCTTTCAACGAAACGATCTCTTTCTCCTTTTTCCATATGGGGCATGCGCGCGCGTAGGCGGGATGTGCACCATCGCAGTTAGCACACTTCACTTCACTCTCGCAGATATCAGCAACGTGATCAATGCTTCCACATTTTGCGCAGATGTCCTTGCCTCGACAGCTCCGAGCGCCATGACCGAACTGCTGGCACCGAAAACACCGCAGTGGATTTGGTACGCACGGTCGGACACGGCAGTGGAGGTATCCCGCCTTTACGAATGCTGGGAGAGTGTCTTTCGAACGTGGGAATAACATGCTTGCTTGGAGTTTCCACACCATCTCGTTTGAAAATGATCCGCTTTACAGCAACGACACCCGATGGTCGGAGGCCCTCGAAAATTTCCTCTTCACTAGAGAGTAGGAGGTCGTCCTCGGAGAGCACCCCTCGAATGGTATTCAGTGTGCGGTGTGGGGCAGGTGCTACTCGGACATCTACGATGCGGGACAGTTTCTGGAGCGCCATACTTTGATCTTTAGAGTTCACTTCGACGAGGAGATCACCGGAGTGCATCTTCTTTGCTTTGTAATTATACCCAATCAAATTCTCAAGAACTTTTGCCACAACGAAAGGAGACATTTTTCCCACAAGGCGCTGTTCATTTTCAGAATGAATAACAAAGAATCTTGTGAAGGTTGCCGGTTCAACATCTTTTACTTTGGTTAGCTCAGGATAAGGCGGCTTGGACGCTTGTCCTGAAGAGGTTTTGGTAGAAAACGCCATAGAAGGCAGAGAAAGTTCAGCACCCGTGGCGTACCGCCCACCACGGAGCCCAACCAGGGGACAGGCAGCACCTCACAACAGTCAGGGCTTGTCTGAGTATGTTGCTCTGCCAGTACTACCAAGGCGCTATAACCCAGTGTGGTTCAAGACAAGAGAATCTATTGCCACCCAAGGTTAGCCCTTGCCGCCAAAGAAGTTGAAAAGGAAAGAAGAGAAATGAGAAGAGTGAAAAGAAATAGAAGACAAAGGCGAAAAAAGGAGGGGATAGTAGAAGGAGTCGCGACTAGGCTGAATCATCCTGGCCGGGCCTTACCAGGACTCCCGTCTATGAGAAGCAAGGGCCGAAGTGGTGTATTGCCTCGCCCGGGGGGCCCCGAAGGGTCCAAACCTACCCCGGGGGTGGCTCAACCACCAGGATGCCTTTTTCCCCAGACACGGGAAAGCCACGCACAGCCAGACATGGGCGGGCGAACCTGCATGGCTCGGGGTCCGTAGAGACGCCACTCTCCAAACACTTGCTTTCACAGGTGCCCCCTGCGGGGCTTTTCCGTTCTCTTGCTAGTATTCGCAGCATGAGGACCTCGTGGTTTGATGTGTCCGCCTTTTCGCACTCATTGTGCGCTTCTAGGCTGTATGTGAAATCCCAGGTGCTTGTAGATACGACTGCTCGCTGCTACCGCGCGTGCCCTGCCTCATGTTTCCCAACGTCGTCGATGATTGCCATGTTTCGATATAGGGACCACCCTGGATATTGTCCACCCGCTGGGTAGGCATCCAGTTTCCCACGCGTATTGATTTCCTCAATAAGTTCTTCCGCATTTGCTTCATGGAGGTTTCTGATTATCTGGTACATGACCCCAGCTGGGCCTGGAGAGGTTTTGGTCTCGCACTTCCGAGGGGACGTTATCATCTTTCCCATGGTGAAGGAGTAATTTAGTTCCTCTCCATGTTCCTTGGTCTCCTCATTTAGATCATGCGGAATGCAAAATTGTCCGCTTCTGCCACAGAAGATGTGATGATGCCGGGACGCCGCGCACTTATTCGCTGATTGAAAAGAAAATAGTGGGTATACCTCAACGAATCTAGCAGTGAGGCCTACGCACTATCATTTGTGGGCAGCCTGGTGGCTGCCCAGCCCAGTCGCCTGACTACGATGTACAGGTGCCGGACTTTCCCGCGTGGCGGCAGAGTCAAGCCGGCCACGCGCACATCGCGCGCGCTGCCGTGATAAGGCGGATCAGAGGCGGAGTGCAGGCGGTCGCTGCTTGGACTGAAGCGCCGCTGGTAACAAATTAAATGTAATTTTTTGTTCTTGAGACCGCTGGCTCCGTGTTATTTCTCCGGGTCGGGTATGCAGCAAGGCGAACTGACAACAAAGGCGTCCAAACGTGGTATGCAGGAATTTCGCGGGGCTTGGTCTCTTCTTTCGATAAGCATTTTTATCACTCCCCGTGTTTCCCACTGTCGTTCCGTGCTTCCGTCACGTCCGCGTTTGTTGTACGTCCGCGTTTGTTGTCTGACTGCTTGTATTCTTACTGCGGCAGGTCATTTTGGGCGATTATGTTGGTTTGTAAAGGCGTTACTTTTCTTGTGCTTGCAGCCATGCTCATACGGGAGCAGGAACCCGCAAAGGCCGCAGCGGCACAGATGAACCTGCTCACGAAGGTCATGAAGATGTGCTACTCCGTGAGGCAGCGCCTGGTCCTCACGCCTGGCCAGCAGGAGGCCCCACCGCGAGAGCCCTGACCACACGTGACTGCGCCAGTCTACACGGGGTACGACGCCGTCAAGTTCGTGGCAGGCTTCCTGGGCGAGTTGCAGACGTACCACCTTCCATCCGGTGCCTCGGAAGCCTTCATCGTGTACTGCATTGTTACGCTGGCGTTGCAAGCCAGCGCCAGGTGCTGGTTGGGGTCGCAGGCATCCTTCATCAGCCTGGTGGACTTCAAGACAAGGCTTCCAGAAGAATTACTGCCTCCGGGTCACGCAACGCAGATTCTCCGAGAGCTCGAGGCAAGGGCGCAGCACCCAGACGAGAGTCTGGTCCGATGCGTACGGGTCATGCAGGAGTTCTTTAAGAGGGCGGACCATAATTTACCGGAGAGAGTAGCTCGGGTCAGACGACAGTGCCACCCAAGATACCACGTCTACTTCATCAACCGCACCTTTGAGACCCTTAAGTACCTAGCCCGTGGCGCCCGCCTCATCGGGGAAGCTATTCATGCCGAGCTGAACTACGTGCCGGCGCCGCCAGCCACTTACGTGCTCGTACCAGCACGCGCATGGAGGGGCCCCGAGGCCTCCACGCAAGTGGACTGTCCGTACGAGGCCTTTTCTCCCCACCACGTCAACCAGGAGAGTTGACGTGACATGCGCGGCGTTCTCCCATTCGGGAAAAGCGGATGTTGGCCTAACTCTCACCTAGAGTCCTCGAAGGTCACAGCTGGCCCCGTGAGGGTACCGGGCGGGGGTCGCCAAGACAGGTGGGACACGTTGGCAGCGCCCTATTGGAAGCTGGGGCCCAACAAATTTTCCCTGATTGTTCTCGTTCCGGCAAATGGCCGGAACGAGAACAATCAGGGAAACTACTACGGCCAGCGACGCTGAAACCAGACAGCCACCCGCAGACGGCCGTTACAGTTTCTGGGAGCAGTGAGGCAGCTGCACGGATTCTGTTGGTATGTCCAATCCAGACCGAACCTAACATAATTGAACCGCGCATCACGATTGCACTGCTTGATGTTGCCATTGCCGCATTTCTGGATCGGGGGCCGCTATCTCGCTTATAGGGGATTTCGTTTTCGAACTCTGCAAAGCAAAAAAGATAAGCCTCCGGGAATGCGAAACTCGTTTGTAGCTAGCTTCTAGTACAGCGATAAAAACTGAAGGAGCCGTTAGGGTTCAGACTCTGTTTAATGGAAAGAAGCGGCGTCAGTGATTTTTCTACCTGCCCGGACTCGTGGTACGCGTGACCTTGGACCGAGATTTCATTACAGGCGAAAACATGACACTCGGCTTTTTTGGTGGCGGATATCGGCTGTTACAACAACCAGAGCTCACTCCGTTTACCAGATAGGAGGTCTGCATCCATATCCGTAACCCATCCACTGAAACCTATTTAACCATAGTGCCGGACGTCTTGCCTGCCGGCGTTCGAGAATCGTTGCGAAAGGGCTCCGCAAGCAGCGGAAGCAGGAGCTGCAAGCCGTCCTGCAGTCTTTCTCACCGATGTTTACAGAAACGCCTGGAAAGACTGACATGCTGCTGCGCCACATTGAAACCGGTGACGCGGGGCCTCCGCGATGCAACCCTCAATTGATAGGCGTCCACAAAGGGGTACTCCTAGGTGCGGCGCTCAAGCAGATGATAGACACCAGTTCAGTACGTAGTCGAAGAGAACTTGGGCGTTCCCCATTGTTCTCGCTCCGAAAAAAAGACGGAACAGCCAGACTTTGTGTGGATTACAGGTGGCTTAACGATGTGCTGTCCGAAAAAGCTACGTTTTCCCAAGCATTTTCTCTGTGATGTACGCGCTCGGTAAAGGGACCATGTTCATAAACTGGATAACAGACTCTGCCAACGAGTGTCCACTTGGCTGGCAGAAATAGGTCCAATCGACCGCCCAAAAAGACAAGAAGTTCGACTCCTACTTCATGAGTAACGACGACGGCCTCCTGCTGCGCTACATCCCCCAGGCCAACGACGATCCGGATGCCTCGGCGTTCAGGACCGTGATACCCCGCAACCTACGTAAGGGGACGGTAGTGTTGGCATCCTGACGGCACCCCACCCCAGTTGACCGACTACGGTGCACAGGTGGCGGACTTTCCCTCTCGCGGTGGAGTCAAGTCGGCGACACGCACATCGCGCGAGCCGCCTTGAGGAAGCGAATTGGAGGCGGCGAGCAGGCAGTCGCTGTCTTGACTCAATAGCCATAGGTAACAATGTTAATGTATTCATCGTCTCGTCCATGTCCAATTGAATGTAGGGTCTTGTTCTTGAAACCGCTGGCTCCGTGTTATTCCTCCGGGCCTAGTGTGCAGACAGGCAAACCGACCACAGATTTCAAGTAAAAGCCAATCAAAGCGCGGCGACACTCTTACGTCACCGTAACTTCTGCGCGTGAAGCAGACTACTTTCTCTTTACATAGGTCTCCTCCGCTGGTGCGTTTAACGACCGTGGGAAAACAAATATATTGCCAGTCTCAGCTGCCACCTCCTTTTCTGTGAGTCTCATGACTAATGCAATGTTTTGTGCCCACGCCACCCACCTTCTTTCTTCGTTTCGTCGCTTGGCACGTTCTCCACGTCTTGTACAGTCCCGTAGTATGATTGAAACCATTGCAATGCTCTTGCAACTGTCGCTTCTCCAGTTCGTTGGCGTACTCTCTTGCCTTGAATGTTATGCGGTTCAGTATACCTTTTTGCTTCTATATTCTACCCGCCCTTCTGTACCGCTCTAGGGCTTCCATTCACGACTCCCACTAGTTGAGTAGACGCCTGTCCGATATCGGGCTTTTCTCTCTGACCTTGATTCTTCTTGTCATCCTGCTAGTTTGGTTTGTTCCGATACTTCCGTCTCTAGGATTTCTCTGTACCTGTTCCAGACTATCCTTTTCATTTATTTTCGGTGCGCTTTCGGCTTTTGGATTCTACTATGGTGCGAATTGACACGTGGTCGCTGCCCCAGGTATCGGTCTCGACTACCCAGCAACCCTTGAAAAGTGGATTTACCCATGTAAAATCTGATGTCGTGTCTTCTTACATTGCGTGCAAAGCAACTCCCGTGGTCCGGTTTTGCTGACCGCAGGGGGCACCTGTGAAAGCAGGTGTTTGGAGAGTGGCATCTCCACGGACCCCGAGCCATGCGGGTTCGCCCGCCCACGTCCGGCTGTTCGTGGCTTTCCCGTGTCTGAGGAAAAGGGCATCCTAATGGTTGAGCCAAGCCCGGGGCAGGTTTGGACCCTTCGGGCCCCCCGGGTGAGGCAATACACTACTTCGGCCCCCGCTTCTCATAGACGGGAGTCCTGGTAAGGCCCGGCCAGGATGATTCAGCCTAGTCGCCACTCCTTCTACTATCCCCTTCTTTCCTTTTCAACTTCTTTGGTGGCAAGGGCTAACCTTGGGTGGTGACAGACCCCTTGTCCAGAACCACACTTGGTTATAGTTCCTGGGCAGTACTAATAGCATAACGTCTCCAGCAAAGCCCTTTTTGTTATGGTGCGTTATCTATTCCCTTGTTGGGCTCCGTGGTGGGCGGCACACCACAGGTTCCGGACAAACTTCGCCTCTTGTGGCTGCCTCCTCTTCTAAACCCAAAACGGTGCGCCCCCCTAAAAGGGGTTGCTCCGTACTTACTTTTCAAAAAGCATCTGAACCACCAAAGTTTCCAAGATTTTTTGTCCTTCAAGCCCTTGATGAAGAAAAGCCACTGGCTAAGCTCTCGCCTTTCCTTGTATCTAAATGCCTTGATGCCATCATTGGCAAAGCTTTCAAGGCGAAAAACTTTCTGGCAATCTTCTCGTAGAAGTAGAAACTGAAGTTCAAAGCAAAACACCTCTAGAACAGACATCTCTAGGAGAACACCAGATAAAGGTCAGCCCACACCGGACACTGAACAGTGTCCGAGGTGTCATCTCCGAGGCTGATCTCATTGACTGCAGTGAGGACGAAATTCTGGTTGGACTCCAGAAACAGGCTGTGGGGGCCGTCAAGCGAATCACC